TAGTTAATAATGGATTGACAAATAGGAGTTCAATCTTCAGAGCACATGCAGAAGTTTCTACATGCTACCAATCAGCATAAGCATGCTCTGATTGTTTCCTAACCATTCACTGCATGGTGTAGAAAACCCTTATTATTGGCTGCTGAAAAGGAACTAGGTTTATACCATAGCTGACTGGCTTGAGGGCTGGACTCCCACTGGCCAGCCCCCTGTCACTACAGTTTTAATCATGTTTTTTGAAAATGTGTTTATATGTTCCTATCAGCCCAGTGGTATTGATCTGGGAGTGATAAGCTGATGTTTTTAAGCACGTGATCACATGCCCAAGACATTCCATTTATCTTAGGCAGAAAATTAAATCCTGCATCTTATGTACAAAGCCTAAATATAGGGAAAACAAAAATTACTACTAATAGTAATAACAACACTGCAAACCAAAGCCCCTGCCAGTCATTGTTTTCTGATAGCAAGAACACTCTTGATGAGGTCCCTTTTATGATGTAGCATGGGACATTTTCAGTAGCTCTGGTTTAGTCTCTGATAATGGCATCTTCCTGTGGAGATTGGGATTTCTTTCCCTCATTTTAGTTCTGAAAAAAAGACTGTCCCCAAATCCCCTTTATAGACTTTAACTTTTGGCCTACTGCCTCATCCAACTCTTTTCTATGCATCTCTCTCCCCCTCCCTACCAAGTGATGAACTGTGGAAGGACTCCTGGCCCAGGCCTCTAGCCAAGCAAGACAAAAAACTGAAAGGACTGGTAGGAAATTTCACATGGGGAAATATCAGCAATTATAAATGACTGTATCATAAGAATCCCCAATAAATGTGCTTTTTGTTCACAAATCACTTCTCTCTTGTGAGGGGTCACAATCTGTTATTCCTTTTCCTTACCTTAGAGGTAGACATAGAAATAGATAACTGGACAGAAAGACAACATCCATTGAGCAGTTATTCTGTGAGTCATTGTGCTCAGTGCCAGAGATACAAATATAAGCAAGCAAGACATTCCCTACCCTCAAGGAGCTTACATTCTAATGGGATAAAAGATAATGAGTATGAGAATGTAGGAAGGTGGTTAAAGGAGGGTTGTGTCTGAATAAGGGGAATGGCAAGGAGCCTGCAAGAAGTGGCACAGAGGACCAGGCCTTGGTCAGAGAAGTGAAAAAACTTACCTATCTTATCCAGAGGATTCAGGGATAGAATCTAAAACTTCAGTGAGGTGAAGCGGGATTAGAGAACAGTGGCATAGTGGAGAGACAGAAAGGGCTATCTTTTACCATCTTCTCTGTCATTCTAATATATTCTTGCTTTGCTTAATATCTAAGGCAAATTCCTTGTACTCTACCTATAGCTCAAAATTTAAGAATGAATATTCCCCATGTATCCTCCCTGAGACTTAAAATCACTTTGACTATGTTTTAATATAATGAGAACCATTTGTTGTTATGAAAACAAGTTTTTACTTATATTATCTTTTTTGTCTCAAATACTACTTTTAGAACTGCTTATAAAGAGTTGACCACTGTTGTAACTACTGAATATGAACAACTTTAATCTATTAACTAAAGTCTACCTAATTAAATGAAAATAATTAACTACCATCTTTTTTTCCCATCTTCCTTACTTGTTTATATAATGAGCTATAGTTGTGTTCTCCACCTTATAGCTTGTTTCCTTTTTTTGCTTCTCTGGTCAGTTCTACACTAATATTTAGCTGTTTAAATTCTTAACCACATTCCTTTTCCAAAATCTGTTAAAGCATTAGCTTTCTTTCATACTTGGCAAAAATTGTTATCATTATTATTGTTGTTGTTGTTGTTGCTGGTTCTTCCCATTTGCTCTTACAGACTCAGAAGGCAGGTCTAGAAAGGCAAATTAATGATCACTGACTTGATCATCCTAAATGTGCAGTTGTTCACACAGGAAGTTCTCAGTATATGTTTACCTACTCTTTTTGTTTCTTCTTTACCTAAAGAGGCAAATCCAGTTTCTTCCGAGATTGATTTTATTCATATTATAGTATAGAAACATGTAGACTTGAATACAGAAACATGTTCATTCAATAAACAGCATTTGGCTATTTTTTCATAAAATATCATCAGTAAAGTAAATACCTTGGTTATTATCAATTCAGCTTGACAGCAACCAGAGAATATTAGTTTATTCCTTCCCCTCTCCCAATAATACTAATGATAAAATCTATTCAAATACTAAACTTGAAAACAAAAGAGCATATTTTAATATTTTCATTCTGGCTATAGGATAGCAGATATAAAATTTTCTTTCATCCACTTATATGAAGATTTAAATCCCTTCTCTCCCCCCATTTTGGACCTTTCCTTACCCTAGGGTAATGTCAAAATAAATGTTACTATGGACTGCTACAAATGAGCATGATTTTTTTTAAATAGCTACTCCAGTGTCTCCTCCATTAGCTTCTCAAAATGCTCCTCCAATGTTAAAGAACTGGCATTAACAAAAAGTTGTTGAACTCACATTAAAAATTGATAAATTGAAACTTAAAAGAAACAAATATGTTCTTCCCAAGAAATAATAGATATTTGATATAGATAGTGAAAATAGAACACAGAAAACAGTTGATTCATCTTAATTCCAACAATTAGAGGAGAAAAAAAACAGGGCAATGTTTCAGAATTCAACAATATTGTTGAATATTCAGAATATTCAGAATTCAACTCCTCCTTCTCTATCTCCTTAATGGATAGCAATAAAGGAAGCAATAGTTCTTATCAGATGCAAGGAACAATGACTTTCTAATACTTAAATACCAAAATAATTCCCTTTTAAAGTGAAATCAGTGTTAATGAATAGAACTTTGATGAGCAGGCCTGTTTGTGGATGCTTTGGGAAAGTTTCCCCAAAGCAAGACTAAGGTAAGGAGGAGGTGGTTGTGAGAAGTGCCTACATGTATGTATTTGTGTTCAGCTCTGAAGTTTGTCTACAATGACAAGGAAAACATTTAAGGAACACTGAGACTAAATCTGTCCAAGCAAAGTGAAGTGGACAGGCTATTATCCATAAAATTGGGGTCAAAAGAACTGTTATGAGGGTATAAGTATCTTTTTGGATAGAATTACATATTGAGACTGTCAACATTTTCTCAATGCACTAGTAACAGCTCCAGTCTACTTTGCCTGTCTTTACACCTAACTCCAGTGTGTTCTCTCTTTAAAGGTGCATTTATAAATTCAATTAACTAATTAGGAATTTCTCACTAGAAAAATGACTACACATGTCCACTGAGTCAATAGTTTAATTTGTTCAGTTTCACAAATCAAGTCCTTTGCCTCTAAAAAACTTGCATATGACATTGGATTCAACTGCATAAACTGTGAAGTAAAAAAAAAGATAAAGTGGCAAAGTCAGAGCAATTTTATCAGAAAAAAAAGATATTTATTTAAGGGTAAACTATACCTTTTGCCTTTCCTATGAATTAAAAGTTTTATTTGTCTGATATTATGGATAATACATTGAAAGGAAGGCCAATGTTTTTGACTACTGAGCATTCGGATTACTCTTTCAGGAAGCCATTGGGGATGATTTTTCTCCATACTTCTAATATTATTGGTACTCAATGAATAGTATCAAGTTAAATATCTGGGCTGGTATCATTGTTCTTTAATTCCTCCTAATTATCACCATAACTTATCAAACATATTTTTTTAAGTGAGCTCTAAGGGATGAGACTTTTATCTGAAAAAATGTTTAATCTATATTATTTCTGAGTTTAGGAAGCAGCATGCTTAATCTGGATAATAAATCAAATCAGAATACTTTAATAAAGATAGAGACACAAAATCATTTTGACATGTTTGATTTCTTATGAGGAAAAAAATGCAGGTGCCTTATGTGCTGTGAATGACAACAATTTGTCCTGTTAAGATGCCCAAATCATTGAACATTTCATTTTAGCAATGATGAAAGTGCAGTATGTAAAAGTATGCTTTCCATTGCAGAATGGTCATACTCATGGGTGAAATGGACCCTTATGAAAAGCCAAAATTGTATGATATAAAAAATGGTTTAAAATCTTGACAGCAAGCATTCACTTATTCACAGCTGTTATTTTTTTTTCTTAAGCCATCCAATAGAAATCTCTATTCATTTTACTGTGCTTCCAAAATGACATGAGAATTTCATTGAAAGACAAACTGTTTTCCTTGAGGGAACAGAAGAGTAGGAAGTGGCATTTATGTATGCATATATGCATATGTATGTATGTATGTGTGTATGCATATATTCTTTTCTTTATTGATGACATGCTGTAGTATACCATGAAAATTAACTAAAATCCTTTGTTTTTCAATTACAGGATGATCAGATTATTATAACATTAACTAATAATATGATCATCCTGAATGTGCTCAATGAATTGATTTGAAAAATTCCTCTTGCAACTGATTCAATAAGGCACATACAACTAGTGGCCAACCTTAAATGTTCCTTGCTTTATGCCCAAGCAGGAAATGTTTTTTCCCCCTAAAGTTTAAATAAACTAGACTAAACAAGCCCCTACAATTCCTATATCACAGACAACAGGTAAGATTAAGTTATAAGAATAACAGATATAAGAGAAAGGAGAGAAAGGAGAAAGGGAGAAGTAGGTAGAGGAGCAGTACTCAAATGAATAATAAAAGTGTAACAGGTCTCTAAAAAACTTTTATAATCAAGAATCATTAAGGACATTTTATATCAGCAATGTACATTCGGCAACTATACCAACAGACATTTATTTTCAAAAGTAATTGTTGATATATTAAAAGAAGATTGAGTAGTACTTTACTTTAAAAAGTAAAGTGATTAGGCTGAAATATAGACTAAGTCAAACTCCTAAGTAATCTGATCTAATTAAAATATACACATTTGGAAACGTGTAACACATTTGCCCATAAAATGCTCATCACTGAATCCAGAATGGTCAATCAAAGCCTTGAAAAAACGGGAAATAGGCTAAGGTTTCTCCCACTTGTACTCACCAAGTCCCCAAACGCAGAATCAGCAACAGGAGCAGGAACCTCACCCCGCCGCAGTGACTCCACAGGAATAAAGGAAAAAGAAAAGGACTTTTCCAAGAATCCATTGAATTTGTTCTTCTCATTTTGAGGGGGCTAGTTTAAATCTCCAAACAGAATACTTATTCTGCCATCTCAGCAGTACCCTGGTGAGAAAGGGAGAGTGTGAGGACGGAAAAACGCCCCCTAAACAGGTAGCATCAGATGCTTGATAGGACTGGGGCCAGCGTGGCCAATAAGATCAGCAAAATCTTGGCATAAATTAGCTTAAAAAGTGTTGGGCGAATCAGGTGCTCCGAGGGGTGGGGCTTCGTTTACTAGAAAGGGAGACGAGTCTGGAATAGATTGTGTCTTAAGGAAAAGAAAAACAAAGCCCCTTCTGGTTCAGATCTAGAGAGCCAAGTTGATTGGGGTTCAATCAATATCCCTGTCCCAGAGAAAGAGACATCCCCCTACCCTTTTTCCTCAACCTTTCCACTGGCTCAGCGTCCCCAGACAGCCCAGCTCGACTTCAGGGCTGGCTGATTTTCTTCCCCAACTCATCTTGAATTCAGAATTTCTCTTCAGGATGAAACCCATGTGATCTAGCTGGGCAGAGGAAGGCCAAGTCGGTCTTAACCTTCCCCAGGCACAACTGAATAACTAGGGCACCTGAGCGCACCATGGGATGGTTAGTATGCAACCTGTGTTGATTATCTTTTGTAGCTGTCACCCTACTGCCTATAGAGGGAGAGGACCTGCAGGCACCATCCTCCACAGGAGGATCGCAATGACACTAGGCACCAGGCATGAAAAGGTCTGAAAAAAAAAATTTAAAAAAACCTTTGAAACACAGCAGCCAAATGCCACTGCTCATCCCTTCCCTTCCACCCACCCTCTTAGCTCCTGGTCTGTTTCCCTATGCACAGACAGTAACAGTTCCGGCTCTCTCTTAGCCCCTCAAGCTTCTTTTCTTTTGCATTTTTTTTTAAACTGGGTTGGCTGATACCTAACTTCAGAGGCATAGCCTGAGTTTTGTTTGCAGTCCAACCCTGGGTTGCCATGAGAACGAGAAAGCTTTGTGGCAGCAGCTGGAACAACTGTATGGGTTCAGACTGACTGTGGTTGGTGCTAGCGTAGCGTTTACTGGCGTTCTCTCTATCCCTGTTTTTTTCTTAAATCCCCACATCCAGGCATCTCTGCACGGGCTGTGCTGACTGGCTGTCTCATTAATCATTCCACAACCACCTGGAATTGGCCCTGTCCCTGGCTGATCGCATTAACAAACTGGACTCACCGAGACTATGGAAATCAGGAGTCTCAGTGGGTGCGTGTGAGAGATAATGTGACTGTTTCCATCCCACCATCGAAGTACCCAAAACGAAGGGGGTCGGTATAACGATTAAGTTACAGATCTACATTTTCTACCAAAGTTGACCAATTTCAAATCTCAGATTTTTGCTCTTAATTGGTGCTGCATTGCTGTGTCTATGTGTGTGCGTGTATGTTTTCCTGATCATCGATCCTTCATTCAATTCAGCTCTTCTAAAATATGCTGTGTTTCTCTTTGCTACCTTTTCTTACTCTGTTCTGTGAGATATGTTAAAATATTGTCTGTGCTAAAGAGTTTAAATTAAAAAAATTCTTTCTAATAGATTCTGAGGGATATGAGTTAACTAAGACTGATTAGTTAACTAAGGAGAAAGACTGATGCAGTTGAAAATGTATTTTGCACAAATTTTGAGATATCTATTTGAAGCATATAACTAATAGGCTGATCTTATTAGCTAATTCTTTCTGACATAATTCAGTAGAAATGCAGCATTGTGACTAGAAAATATTCATGCCAGTTTTCACTAGCATATTTTGCTAAAACAAGATAAGAGTATTTTATGTTAATATGAATATAATCATATAATCAATGAGTCATGATTTTATTACCATTTATTCCTTGGACACTATTTGACCATTCATCTGTTAAGCCTTTTAAGATATGGACTTAAAGAAAATTGGAGAACAAGAAGAAGTGCAGGATTTATATCCCCATGGTTACAAATTACATGTCTCTTTAAGCATCAGATGCAAGATTTCCAATAAGAAGATGGCTCACTCTCTTCACATACTGTTGCCCCTAGGTTTATATTTCAGATAACAATGTCAATTTCTTGCTCCATAGTCCCTTGCTTTTATACAATGTCTTTTTTTGGAACTTTTAAACTGTATTCCTTCATTCAACTCTTCCCTTAAAACATAACTCTTCTGGGAAGCAGATCGCCTCCCACTGTCATGTTAATAAAGATTTCCCCTGAAAGTATGTGATGGCAGTGTCTGCACTGCAGGACCAAAGGAATGGTATTTTTCAATACCAGCCACATCTTGACATCTTGACTGCCTGTCTTATTTGATCTATAAACTTGCTAAAGGAGAATTCGCCATAGTCTGTATTTTGCCTGGGTCCCAGAATCCTTCTGGTTCTCACTAAAGGAATCAGAGTACTCCCTTAATTGAGAAACTAAGAGGTTTGTTCCTTACCTACAGGCGGAAGACCATACTGTGCTGAAGATGATACTAGGAGAAAACTGCTTCACCTTCTGCTCTGGATAAAGTGGGGAAATGCTCTGATTCCACAGACACTGCTCACTTCCTTCTGCCACCATGTAAACTACTCTTCTCAGTCTCCCCTTTCTGGCCAGGCCACAACAGTGGCAGAGGCTTCAATATCAGTAATAGTAAGGCCCAAAATTATGACAACTGTGATTAGATATTTTCTCCTGAGCTATGATATACTGAGTTGTGCTGTGGACAATATATCCTCAGCATCGCTCAGATGACAGCTTTGCAGTATGTTTGAGCCATGGCTTTGGTGTATGTTTGGCTTCTCTAGGCTTTTGCCTTTCCAAATGTTTTTGGCCACAACACAAGTAGCTATTTACCTGATGTTCATTCTTAGTGGAAACATTCCTTCTGGGCCAGTGCTTAGCAGAGCACCTTGAACATAGTTAGTTTTTAATATATGATGTTTATGAATTATTGAGTTGAAAATGGGTTAAATAAGAATTAAGCAAAGAAATATCATTAAGTATTTTTTTTTGAGCATCCACACAATTAATTAAGTTTGGTAGAAGACTGATCTAGAGAGGACCAAACTTTGCTAAAATGGTGTTCTAGACAGCTTATATTTTGAGCTTATCTACAATATAATCTCTCATCATGGGTTTTGATAATTCACTGCCTTCATGCTGACCAAGGTCAACTTAGAGTATGTGACTCAGAGACTCCATTTATGCTTGCTGTTCACATGCAGTATCTCATACTCACAATTTAGCATTCCAACCTTATATCATCATAATTTAACTGCCATGTATCCCATCACTTAACTGTCATATATCCCTAAGACCAAACTTCTTAAGAGGTGGCTGCCTCCATTTGTAATTTCAGTGGCATTTCTTATAAGTCTTTTCAGGTCTCTTTGAAATCATCTGTATCCTAATTACTTTTTTAAGATTTTTTTTTCCAAATTACATATAAAATTGTTTTTAACATTTGATTTTTTAAAAAAAAATTTGAATTCCAATTTTTTTTCCCTCCATACATCCCTCCCCTCATAGAGAAGGCAAGTAATTTGATGTAGATTTTACATGTGCAGCCATGCAAAACAAATTTCTGCATTAGTCAGATTACTCTTGCCTGCTCCACTGCCCTGGGGCTCAGGATCTCCCACTGGTTTGCTGAGGTGGGACTTACTGCTGGCTTGCTGGGATGCTTCCTGTCCTGTAATGAGATCCCCTTTTATCCAAGTGAGATGTACCTTTCTTGTTGATCCTCCAAATCTCCCAAGCTAAAAGACTGCTCCACTCCATCTTTCTGCTGTCTCTGCTGTTACAGGATTTGTTCTGGGGTGTCATTTTATGGTTATTTGGTTATTTGGAGGTGAATATGGGAGAACTACAATGGTTTACTGCTTACTTTGCCATCTTGACTCCCAGAAGTAAGATGTTTTATTATTTCTTGGTCTCTTATAATTTCAGCAGCTTCCCCTTGCCCAATTCTCATTTTTTAAGGTTATGAATAGCTTTTTATTCCATTAATATTTAAAAGTGCCTTGTCATAAAACATAATTTTGTTGCTTATTATGAGTCACAGGATCATTTTTTTTTTGTTTAAAACATTTAAGATTACTGAAATGTGTTTATTCTCAAAAATAATTTTATTGTGAATTTAACAAATACCATACAAAAAAGAGAACATTTCCATATACAAAATAGAAGAGGAAGATGTGATATATAATCTTTATTACATACAGCTTGCTTTTTTTTAAAATTAAATGATAAATTCAATATGTTACTTTCAAAACTGTCCTGCTTGTCTGTGTTTCCCTCTAAACTCCCTTCTGTGCATTTTAAGAAGATTTTTCAATGATCTTTTTTTCTTTTTCAACAATATTATTGCTAGTTTTCTCTTCCCACCTAAATTCTGCTTCTCCTACCCCATAAAAAAAGAAAAGCATAAATCTTTGTAAGAAATAAACATAACAAAAAAAATAAATCCACATATTTGTCATGTCCAAAAATGTATCTCTCAGAGAGAAATTGTCAATTCATTACTGATAGAGCTGGCCATGATTTGGCATCTGCCTGTAATCCCTGCTCCTATAAAACTCTCCTTGAAGAGGCTGAAGCTGTTGAATTGCTTGAACTTAGGAGTTCTAAGCTAGGTAGGAATAAACTGATTAGATGTCCACACTAAGTATAACACCAATATGGTGAGTCTGTGGGAGTAGAGAGTAGAGAGAGAGAGGGAACCTCCAGAGGGTAGAACAGTCCAGGGTAGAAATGGAACTGGTTTTCAAAATTTCCCATAATGATCAGTAGTGGTATTGGGTCTGTGAAAGGTCCCTACATTTCCAGCATATGAGAGATAGGGAGATCAATTCTCAGGAGAAAAAAATGTCATTGACATTTATTTCTCATACTTCTAAACCCTCTTCCTAAATAAAGCTGAGGAATCAAAGCTATACAAATATTGCACAGACTTAATAAAAAAGGAGGGAGGTTGGTGGTCATTTACTAACTCTGTTGTAGATTAATTTTTTAATAAAATGTCATTG